ACATAACGTCACTCGCGCCCTTCCGTTAATCCTCAATGTTCCTCCAATCTCCCTACCCCTTTGCGATCCCGACTATTCCCTTACAGCAGTGAACACGATCTGTTGCACGATCAAACGTTAACAATCTTTATCTTCACTTGTTCCACACACCCGCACATTCCGGACCGGACGCGATTCCAATTTACAAATAGCGCCGCTTCCTTCAATCGATTATCCTCGGTACCACGCAAGCAACACAACTTCACTCCAATCGATATTTCGAACAACAAAACTGCCGATCCTGCCCTTCTTACGTTCTCGCCACTTTACCTTCTCTTCTTCTCCTTACGCAACTCCTTATCGATTTACCACCTCCTCTCTCTCTCTCTCTCTCTCTCTCTCTCTCTCTCTCTCTCTCTCTCTCTCTCCCTCCCTCCCCGCCACCCTCCTCCTCCCTTTAAACATCCTGCATCCCTGAGTCGTAGCACCTTCTTTACCGCGTGGCAAATAAAAATCATTGAAAAAGCGGAGGATTGGAAAAGCATTTAGACGTAGAGAAATCGATTGGAAATCTGTCTCGATCTCACGCTCGATAGACGATATCCTTCCGCTAAGCGTCTAGCGGTAGACCTACTCTTGCTTTCCTATTCCTTTCATTTTCAAATCAACCAAATGATCCGTTTACTAAAAAAATCAACCACCGTCCAATCTTCTTCTGTGTTTTAACAACGCTCCACTTGCACTTGTGCTACCGTAAACGTAAACGTTTTCACACCCGCCGCGTTACTTTCCAGACAAGGACAAACATGGAATGGACAAAGGAGGAATTCACTGCGCGTGAAATAACGTCGAAATCGTACTCTCGCAAAGCTTCGAATTAACACGACGACGTGAAAATCGTCCAAGTGATTCAACACGAGAACAAACCGACAATTATCTATACTCGATTAAAAGTTCCGTTTGATGCACAGCACAAAAACGAACAAGGGGTAAAAGTCCATCGATTCGAATGTTAATTCGAGTGTTCATTCAGGGCTAACCACTCTTAGATAGTGGTAGCAACATCACCACTAATTTTTCATTCAGCACGCGAATCGTTGTTGCTCGTGGCTCGAATAGCGGCGACGAGGTAACAACACGGTGGCGGCAGTGACGGGGGCTGTGATCAAACTGAGAATTCATGGAAAAAACGGAAGCCCGAAGAAAGAGGAGAAGATCAAAGGGAGAGACAGACAGACAGACGATGAAAGTAGAAAGATGAAACGACCGAGCAACGTTAGCAGCCTCGAGAACGAAGAAGAAGAAAGAGAAGCGGGCAGAGTGAAAGTTAGGAATGGCGCTCACCTGTTGCCGACGACAACGGGAATCGTGTAACTCGCATACAACCACTGGAAGCATGGAGAAACCGAAAGAAGGGTAATGCGCGATGCGCGCTGTTTCGGAGCACGCGCGCGCCGCTTAGGAACGCGCGAGGAATCCAAAGGAACCAAGTCGAGCATAACTGACAACAGATTACATCACCACCGATACAAATTCCGACACCTCCCACTATCTCTTCTACTGCCCAACTCTAATCGCACTACTTTTTTCTACATTTCTTCCTTTCCTACTAATCCATCTTTTTATTCTCTTCGCCTTTTTCCTTCGTCTCTCCGACGACCTGCCGTCGTCACTCGTTATCCCCGTTCTCGTCCTCGTCCTTCTCCCTCCTCCTCCATCCCCCCTATTCTTGTCGTTGTCGTGTTCATGTTTTTCAGCCTAGTTGATACACGATCAGGTAATAATGCGTTATTATGGTTGACTCCTCCTTCTTGCTCTCGTCGCCGTCGTTGTTATACGAGTTTTACGTTGTCGACATTCGAGATATGGAAGAGCGAGAAAATTGCAAGGAAATAGCGAAAAGGCGCATGCGCGCCCTCCGCGATCCGGGCTATGGCTTTGGCTCCGACCTCGGCTCGAGCTTGGTTCCGGCTCTGGCCAGGGTGTACGCCTATGCCTGGAAATTATAGGTCTGGGCTGCAGGTAGCTGCTGCGGCTACGGGTCACGGGAGAGGATACTGGACCAGAGGATTGGGGATTGGGGAGGAGGAGGATCGACTACTTGGGATATGGGTTGCGAATTACACAACTTACAGTTAGCGGGGTGATATAGGAGAATGAGGGATCAAAGTACTAAATCAATTCTCGATCCATCGTTGATTTCCAATTTCTATACGAAAATTAATAAATTCCAATGTCTAGTTATTATTTCATTCGTAAGTAATAAAATAAAAGATTTACCTTTTCCTCCTTTTACGTTCCGATCCTTTTCGTTGGTCTTACTAAAATAATCAGCCGAAATTGCCGCTTTTACCAACCGAGCTGTCTCTAAATCGATCCACGTTGCAAAACGCCAACATTCGACGAGTGAATAAACGGATATGTTGATTAAGCATAAACTGCCTTTATTATCGGCACGTTATATACA